ATGTGTTTTGGGAGTGTACGTATGGTGTTGAAAAGGGTCCACTGCTTTCTGAGTGTCACCAAAATAGACCTGTCATTGGCATGGGAGATGGTACTATATGGACTCATACCAGAGAGACCAGAGGAAATGTTATCTAGCAATTTATTAGTACGTGTTAAAACTAGTTTATAGAAAGTAAGAAACCTCTGGGTGTTTAAGGGGCTAGCTTTTGCTTAAAGAGAGTGCCTGAAGCTGGGGCTGCGTGAACTGAAATACAGGCTTAAGACACAATTGGTTGCTGAAAACTGCATCTTAAGTCAAAACGTTGTAACCCAGAACCAATTTTCACATAAGAAACAATGTTATACATGGGGGATTGGTTCCTGAACCAAGGCCCGATACCCTATTTTCACCAAAAATACCCCAGAATTTTGTACTTGATCAATTATAGATGAGTAATAGCTACATTAATGTGTTTATATTGTAAATAGCAATCATATTGATTTGGAAGGACTTCTTTGAGGTGAGTTTGGACTTTCTGAAAAGCTCTTGGTTGGACTTTTTCAAGGGTTTTTGGCTAGAGTCTTCTCAGGAGTCTTGGCTGCAGGTTTTTCTGGAGTCTTGTCTGCTTTCTTAAAGAGTCCAAGGACGTTTGGACAGATGTTCTCCAGGGAGATGAGCAACGCAGCGAACTTGTTCGCTGGTGTAGCGTCACGTTGGATCAAGTGTTGTAAAGTTGGAACTGACATCATTAAGTTGAAACAGTGTCAATTTATAAATGTTTTAAGTGCGAAATGTTGTAACTTGAAACATTGTAAGTCGAGGACTGCCTGTACTATATTGATCGTGACAAGGACGAGATCAGAGAAGAAGAGGTGGAGGAAAAAGGACTGGACACATTTGATTCACTGAACCAACAGAGAGGACTGATGGGAAGTGCAGAGAGTTTCAGGTGTTTCCAGAGGTTTTCATGGGGTTCTGTATAAAGAAAAAGAATTCTGTAAGGGTTTTTTTTTGTGGGAAGTTGATGCATGTTTGTTTAAAGGTTTAATATACGTAGTTGTAGGTTCTGGATATGTACTTGTTTTTGCGATATGAAGTTTTGGTAAAACTAGGGTGCTTGATATGTGAAGCTTTGTAAGTGTAAAGTGATAAGTGCGTGTTTAATAAAATTTGTTAATAAAGAAAAGTTTATACTGGACATAAGTAGGTCCCAACGTGCTGCTCAAAAGTGCATTTATAAAACATTTGTGGTAAAACTTGCAGGAGTTTCAAAAAAAGGTAACATACGTCAATTCTGGTTTAATTGCGTCTATGGGTACTATATGCAAATTGCTACAGCCACATTTAATTTCAGGGTTTTTGTTGGCAAATTTGCTTCTCGCTTCCAGGTGCTTAAGTAGAGCAGGGTCTGGTAGTAAGGAGATGGGGAAGAGCTGCCAGTGGAAAAAGTTGTGGAGAAACAGAGAACAAAGGGCTACCTGGCCCTTCCAGATTTATTTTCTCTGCTGTGGGGGGGAGGGGGGGAGACCAAATTCAAGGCAAACTTCCAATAATTAAATTCTATACCTGGGAAATTATGCTAAGTTTATACATTTTCCATATATAAAATCTAATCATTGGGGGGTCATGTTATAATCAGGTTAATCCAAGTAAATATGGTATTACAGCATTTGTAAAGAGGCAATTTCCTTTTTGTAAAAAAAAAAAAAAAAAAAATTAAATCAGATTTCTTCTGAACGTCCTAGCTTCATTTTGTTCAGTTAGTAGAAACCTGCCCTTCTGGTTTATAAAATCATGTTGCTAAAACATAAAGCAGGATGTTATGACTCATTTGAACAATTCTTTGGGGTTTTTTTTAAATGATTGCTGATGGTATTTTTAAATAAACCTGCTGTACTTTGTGTTTGCCTCTAAGAATGTAAGCCTGTGGCACACTGTTCTCAATCTTAGACCCAGAGCACCCTTGTTAAAATCCAGGCACCCTTCAGAAAATGTGAGCTCTTAGTTTTCATACATTATTTTTACTATACGAAAATAATAGAACAATTCTGTTTTTAGATCCTCTGGGCAGGGTCTGTCTCTTTTGTTAAGTGTTTATATAGTGCCTAGTGAAGTGGATTCTGAACTACAGCTTGGTTCCCAAGCCATCAGAATAATTTCCAGCACTAAAGTTAATTGTATCTGGTGTGAAAGATGATGACGGAGCAACATCTTCCTCTTCCTTCAGTTGGATACTAATTCTGCTTCTTTGAATAAGAACTGGCAATAGTGGAAGGAAAAAGAGGTAGAAGAATTGCTAATTCCCTTTATTTCCTCAGTGTCTACAAACCTGTTTCTAGGTTTGACTCTCTTGAACTCCATGGGTATCTTTACACGTGCTCTGGGATGCAGGGTGTTTTAATTAGAGCAGCTCCCGAGAGCCACTCTAATTAAAGCGCCCACAGCATTCTGTGTATTCAGCATCCTGCAGTTGAAAATGGCAGGAGGGGCCATTTAAAGAGGTGTGAGTCTAACAAGGGTACCGTAGGCCTAGAAAGCTAAGGAAGAGCGTGCTTAGAGGCTTACATTCTTAGAGGCAAACTCAAAGTAGAACAAATTTATTTGAAAATACCATCAGCAATTCTTTCAAGAAAAAAAACAATGAATTGTTTAAATGAGTCTTAACACTTTGCTTTGTTTTAGCATAAATGTGACTTTTTTAGTATAAATGAGACTCATTTAAAGAACGTTAGTGAAAGCGCCCCCGCCACCATTTTTGAAGTGTGGGAACGCTGAATTGACAGGACCCTGAGGCTGCTGGAGCCTGCTAATTAGAGTGCTCCAGCAGACTCAATTAATCTGATGTGTTCTAATTAGAATACTTTGAAGCAGGCATCAGGCACATTTATAGGTGCCCCATATTTCAACAGTAGTATAGCCACTGAGGTTGATTTTTGTTTGACATCATTTTAACAGCTGTCTAAGCCAAATGACTTTGCGCTAAAACATCTGACAATAGGATCACTATATTTTATGTACATTATCTGAGGCAGCAAAATAAGATAGTTTTGTTTGCTTTAAAAATTCTTCTTTACACATTCTTTCTGTTTTGTCATGTTTTCATATTTACAAATTGTTACACGGATAGGCCAACTGTTTAAAATGGTCAAATTTTTACTGTGCAACTTGAGAAATTTCACTTGCCTGGCTCTGAGGTTCAGATGAAATAATTATTCATTGTGATTATCTTACCCAGTGGATTTAGACCTTTCCCCAACTGAAATTTTTGAAGAACTGATTTACTTTAAGCATTCTGTGTGTACTGTGTGTACCTCGTTGTATAGTTTAAGTGAAAAATTTCTAGCTTACTTGGGTTATGGATGAATAATTTATTCTTATTATTTATGATTCTGTAGGTGACTAGTAATATATTACAACCTATAATGTTCCTGATTGGATGCTTGAGTAGAAATAGTGAGAAAAAAGTGAGCTATCTGACCCCCTGCCACCGATTTTATTTTCCCTGCTGTAGCAGTGGGAGGAGGACAAACTCAAGGGAAACCTCCCATAATTAGATTCTATACCTAGAAAACTATAATAAATTTATAAATTTTCCATAACTAAAATCTAATTATTGTGGGGGGGAGGGGTTGTCTTGTATTCAAGCTCAGCTTATATTTAAGTAAATACGGTAACAAAATATCTAGGATGACATGAATGAGGGCCAGTTTGTGAAGTCAGTAGAAGTTGTTCACTGGTTTCAAAAGTTTGCAGAGTTGATCTAGGGCTTGTTTTGTTTTTCTGTGTAGTGTTGTGAGATCATAGGAAAGTAGGACTGGAAGGGACCTTATGAGGTTACCTAGTCCAGCCCTGTGCTCCAAGCAGGATCTTCTCTGACTACATCATTCCAGTAAAGTGTTTGTCCAACCTGCGCTTTAAAATTTCCAAGGATAGAGATTCCACAGCTCCTCTAAGCGGCCTATTTCAGTGCTTAACCACCCTCATAGTCAGATGTTCTGTACTGAAAAGCTTGTCCAAGCAATTATTTTCTTTGCAGACGCTGGATCAATGTAGTGCGCTTGCCATGCTTCAGTGTCATCTAGGAAAATGTTTAAGGGAGCACTCTTTTCACTAACTTGGTATATTTTCCTAGAGTTATTTTATAACTCTGTTAAATCTGTTAATATTGAAATAGTATATATAAGAGTTTTAGGGGCTTAGCTGCTTCTTACCTCATACCAGAAGTATCCCCTCTCCCACCTCCAAATCAAAGCTTCTTTATTCAAAACCAAACCTAACAATTTTAAGAAGAGAAAAAAGTCCAGGTATCTATTCTGTCTTCCTGGGCTATTTATCTCTGTTTAATACTAGTTATCTGACAGCTTGTAAACATCAGGCCTTCTAATGACAAAGATGCAGTCACAACAATGAAGGAGCTTTTTGAGGCCTCCTCCCGATTATTTTTAATGAAACAAAGCTCTGGAACAAGATTGGATTCTGGATGGTAGACTGGTGCCATTTCTACTTTCAAAAACACTTTAAAAGGAATAAAGAAAACCCAGCCCTCTTCACAAAGAGTAATCAGGGAGCACTAAATGCATTATAATTTACACATTGAGGACAAAATTTTCTTGCTGATCTGCAACAGCAGAGCTTGAATGAGAGAGCTACATGTGCAGAAAAAGTGGGATATTAGGCATGAGATCTGCCATGTGGATCAGAATTTTGATGAGAGAACAGAATTTTGCCATAAATGCATCGTAATAGAAAACCTTAGTGGTTCAATAACATTTTTATAGCATGTTGATTACCATTATCACATTCAACATTATTTACAAGATGATTTGCTTAAATCTAAGTGAGGAAGAACTTAAATTGTCCTAGTTATAACTGAGAGGTTAAAATCCACTAGAGCTCTTCTAACCAATAAAACTGCCGCCTCTCTCACACAAAGCTAACTGAATGCATGAATGCCACTGTGCATAGCTGACAAAGGCAGAACATTTTTGTGAAAAGCCTGTGTAAATTCTTTCCCACAGAAGTCAACGAAAGGGTCGGTTGTCCTGGGCTACGTATTCCGTCACTTAAACCTAGTGGAGATAGATTACTTTGGACTGCGTTACTGTGACAGAAGTCATCAGACGGTGAGTAAAAGACATGGCAGATTTGAATTTTCCAGCTCTAAACTTTACCCCGTTCATGACCTTTCCCAGTGGGGTGCTAGGTGGTCACACTTTCAATAACTTTCACTGTTTCATGAAACAATAAGATTTCCAATAGCAATTTTTTTTTTACACTTGTTTTCATGGAAACACTGGAATTGTTGCTATTGACTTAAATGAGACCAGAAACAGGCACCTAAGTCTCTGCACAAGATGAGGGAAAATAATATGAAAAAAGGATGTTGGAAATTAACAGAAGTATAGTGTTATACATGAAAAGTGCTGGTAAAATTCTTCATTTCACTTAAACCAGATAACTGTTTGCCTCATATGAATTTTCTGAGTGTATATTTCCCCGAATAGGAATTTTGGTTGTAAGTGAGCTGGTACTAATTTATTCCTTGTTTGTCTGGGATTAAGATGATAGTAATTTATTTAGGGAGGGACAGTGACCACAATGTTCCCTGGCATGTCATAAATTGTTCACTCATGGACTATTTCTTGCCTCACAGTTTTAGAGTGAGATGACCGATATGGTAGGAGGCTTTTGGCTGCCAGAATGTATTTATATCATGTTTGCTTGCTTTGTGAAAATGGGTGGCCTAGAAAAAGTATGTGTAATAATGACCTTTTGACTCCACTTGAGTTGGCATTGTAGTTCTCAAGTCTCTGTTGTTTGGTGGAAGAGGCTCCCTTTGATAGGCTGTCATGTATGTAGTACACCTTTCTCCAAAAAGTTTATCATCATACACAGATAAGAAAATAGAAAGGCCCTGTATTGTCCTTATTTTGCAAAGGCCCAATTTATTTTTAAGCTTTGCTTGCTTAACCTTATTGGTTAGGAATGTGAAAAGATCACACACGTTAGCAGCATATATATAATCAGTAAAAGTTCTAGTGTATATATATGCGGTTGCAATGTCAAAATAATTCTTTTAGTTCCAGGGACCAGTCTAAACCAGTATAAACACTGGCAAATCACTCTTTTACCAGTGGCTGTGTACAGATGTTCAGTTTCTACCGAGAGAATTGCCATTTTCCTCGTAGAAACCAAAAGTGTGCAGACATTCAAGTTTTTTCTCCAGAGAAAAAATGGCAGCTCCAAAAGAAAAATAATGTGGGAACAACCAGGGTTAAATTGCTTCTGGGAAACTGAATGTCTGCATACTTTTGCCAATTTAAACTCCTACTTGAGACCAGGAGGCATGTAGCTGGGGGAATAGCTCCTGTGTCTTCTTGAGACTAGGGTCACAGGAGTTCTCAGTATGAGAAACTTGCAGGGTCTTTGTTGTGTCTTTTGCTCTGCTCGGCGCCCAGACAGTGGGGGCTGAGAGCAGGGAGCACTGGCCCATGGCTGCTCCCACAGGATGAAATTTCTTCCGGTAGAAATGAATGTCTGCACACAGCTTTTATCTACTAGAGGTGTTTCAGTCTACCTTGTGCCAGTAGAGCTATAATGACAAATATTCTAATGTAGATGGAACTTACATTAAACAATCCTTTGTCATCTACCAGGTGAAGCTGTTCATGTGATGATGGCAAGTGCTAAAGGACCATTTTCATTTATAATGTATAGTTTGCCTCTGCTTGCCACAAAACATGCTTACCTATGTTCTGATCATGAAGGACAGTGCCACAGGTCTAAGTTTGGAGGGGCAAGAATTTATAACCCACTCCTTTTGCATATTTTTTGGACCTTGTGCAATATCTACCTGGGACATGTATTTAATAACTAACAGAAGAAAATAAGGGGAAAAAAAATGATGATAAAATATGCTAATTAATTGAAGTGAGGAGAGGCAGTATCACTGTGCCAAAGAGCTTGGGAGGGTGTGAGCTCATGAAACTCCTGGAGAGGAAATAAATAAGTTTTGTTGTTGTTGTTTTGGGATTGTTTTGCATTATTATTTATGGAAGCCAGCTGTTGATAACCAAAGTTGTGACAGAGCTTGATATAATGAAGAGTAATATTATCCTGGTTTGACTGTAGGTTAGAATATTAAAAGTTCAGGTATTCTCAGCTAGTTTAGCAACAGAGGCAGTCTGTTACACGAGCAGTTGTAAACCTCCCTCACTTTTCCGGAATACCAAGGGCATGATTTTCCCTTCGCTTACATTAAAGTGAGTAGTAGTTAGCTAGCTCATTGAGGTTATATCATTGTAAAACTAGTATAAATGAGAGAAAAATCATGCCCTTATTAAGGGCTATGGATTTGGAATTCAGTATGTAGCCGTCTTGAAGTTTACAGAAAAAACTCGGCTTGATGTGGTCATATTTTTTAAATAAGCACTTTACCTTTGGGAGTAGAATTATACTTGTCAGGAATATCATTCTTCAACTTTAAGGTTTTAATAATTATAGTGTTGACTAAGTCCTAATCAATATATTCAGTCCCCCCCCCTATGAAAATAACCCAAACTGTACTTATGCCAATATACAATTACAACAGCATTGTAATACAGTCTGTATCTGCTAGCCAGAGCTCGGTACTGTATTATTCAACCCTTTTTTAAAGGCTATTCCACAGTCTAAAAATGTAAAAGATTGCATTGAGTTTTATTGGTAAGTTTTCAAGCTTTGTGACTGTTTTGTTGAAGTGAAAATAAAGTTAAATTATGAATTCAAGAGAACATTTTTGAAAGCATATGTTTTTAAATGCTGTGCGCAAGCTAAAATGAAAATTCTCTAGTGAATTAAAAAATAAGCTATCTTTTGCTTTCTAAAATGGTTTACATTGCTCATGTAGAGGCAAAACAGAAAATTATAGCTGACTGAGATATATATGTTACCAGAGTGATGTACCTTGCACACTAAACAGTGTGGATTCAGATTTGTTGGGGCCCTAGGCAAACAGAAAATTGGAGGCCCCCCACACCCTGTTATAAACATGAATGTATCATGCCACTTTTCCTGCACAGCTGGGTCCCAGGTCCCAGGATCTGGACTCCAGTGGGGAGAGGGGCCCCTTTCCCTCCTGATGCTACTGCTGCCAAGGGTGGGGCAGGCCTCCATTCCCCATGGATGAGGCTGAAAGGACCCAGCTAGGTTGGGGATGGGGTGGCACATGCCCACTTCTCTCCCCTCCCCCCCATAGCTGGAGCAGAGCTGAGCAGGGTGCAGGCAGATGTGGGATGTCTGCTGTGGGCTTAGGGCTCTCTGTCCTGCTGCCTTTGCCCTGGGGGCCCCGTGTTAGCTGCACGCCCCGTGCCTGCCTCGCTGCTCCTCTCGGTATGGGTGGGCAGAGGGCGTGTGACCAGTGCGGGGCTCCTGAGGGAAAGGCAACAGAATGGAGATCCCCAAGCCCACAGTAGGCAGCCTGCATCCACCCCATGCACAAATCTGGGGGGGCACATGCCCTGTCACTTTTAGATATAATAGGTAGAATGACCTCACAGACCGGATCCAGCCCATGGACCGTATTTTGCTCACCCCTGCTCTATCCCCTTACTCTTTTTCATGTCAGCGGCTCCATTGAAGCTGCAGCTTGGGGCACTAAGCATGGCCTTAGCTTAGGCCCATAGCAGCATTGTGCAGCCTGCGTGGCTGCTGTGGGGGCTGGGCTGGGCTGGGCCGGGCTAGGGCCATGCTTAGTGCCCCAAGATAGTATACGGATGGAGCCTGTCCACTCATGGAGCAAGAGTAAGGAGGGGGAAAGCAGGGATCAGAGGCTGTGGTGGAGGAGGGAAGGAGATAAGAGGGAGGGAGAGGCTGCTTGTGGGGTAGGGAACAGAGGCTGGGGAAGAAGAGGGGCCAGAGGCTGCAGGGGGCTTAAGGGGTGGCAGGGAGGCGGGCACAAACAGGGTGCAAGCTGCTTGCCCTCCCCATATCAGTGCACCCTCACTGCCTGTCTTCCCCCCTGACCACAGCGGTGGGGAATTAAAGGCAACCTTCCAATTGTTAGATTCTATGACTAGAAAATTATAACATTTATACATTTTCCATGTACAAAATCTAATTATTGGTGTGTTGCCTTAAATTCAGTGTCACTTCAGATTTGGATAAATGTAGTACTGTTATTTCTGTACCTTTAGTGTCTAGGAGCCCTACAGATATGGCTTCTTTTGCAGGTCTGTCTCTTAGGGGAGCACATTTTGGTAGTATAAAGTGTAAAGCAGACCCTAGGTTCCATTTGCAGCCAAGCTAGGATCAAGGAGTCACAGCTGGTTTCCTCTTGCCCTGCATTTCTTTGTGCAGTGTTTTATATGGTAAGAAGACTTTTTTCTCCAAAAAAGTGAGTCATAAAATCATGAGGTAGGAAGAGACCTCAAGGATCATCTAGTTTAACCCTGTAAAAATGCAGGCTTCTCTGTTTTTAAACCATCCCTGTTTAACCTCTTTTTGAAAACCACCTATGAAGGAGATTTCAAAACTGTAAAATTACAGTACTATTTATCTATTATTGCAATAGACTATTAGGAAAATGTGTGCTCCTGTAACATATGTGCGTAGAGCTAGTAAAATATTGAAACTAACTTGCATGGAAAGTATATAAATGAAGAATCCTGCCAAAATATAGGTATGTTTACAGTATTCATTATATTCTTTGTTAGTTTGTGATCTGTAGTGAAATTTTGTTGCATCTTGGGAATTGCAAATTAAAGAATAAAACTCCATGGCATTAACAAAACCTTGCATAAACTGTAAATGAAAAAATATAATTAATCAAAGGCTTGTGAAAGGAATAATTACAGAAATCAGCATAAGGTTTAGTTCTGCACTGGCATGCATGAAACCTGGATTTGATTTTTATAGTTTCACACTTTTGGAACTGTATCTGTTTAATGCCTAGAGGGAATATAGATCTGTCTGCTTATTTATTTGGGAAATAAATTAAATAGGAAGTACTTTCAGATCAGTGTCTGATACAGAAATATGTGTGGGGATGAGCCTCATGTTAACTCTTTACAGTCGGAAAGGAATATTCTAAACTTTGATAATTAACTAATTCTAATCTAATTATAATATATGATCTGATGAGGTT